TTTCCACTTCACTCGTCACCATCAAAACTAGTCTAACGTCTCCTGAATGCTACAAATAACACGGCTGTAACCTGGGCATGACCGTAAACCAGCTCACCTACAAACGCCTCCCAAAATCTACAGAAGAGAGGCGGACATCAGCATCCCTCATTACTGACGCAGCTCACAATCTTCCTGAGGAATCCATAATCCCTCCTCCAGGTTCCTTGTGCGTTTCATTCGGCTCCGTCCCGAACGGTTAAAGAAACTCTGCTGCTCTAATAACTACTGACCTAAGGTGACACAGGGCCACAATGGGCTGCCGGGCCTAAAAAGCTGAACCAAAAGAAGCTGATTAGTCCCTGAAGTGGTCTGGAGCCAGAATCAATGGCGGCTCTGTGCGGCCCGCAGTGGCCCCCTGCGCACAAGAGACGGTGAAGCGCAACCGCATTAGTGCTGCCTCATTAAGCCCTGCAAACCTCTTTAGGAGAACATTTGTTTAGCGCGCAGAGAAAATAATTCAGTCCGGCCCCCCCAGGAAGAACATCAATAACTCGTATCCTACACAGGAAGACCACTAACACCGGGAGAGGAAAGGTAACTGGAGTCTGTTCGGTCATTTCAGGGCTGCAACAAAATAATTTTGATAATTGATTAATCTAATGATTATTAGAACAATTAATCACGGATTATTTGACAGATGAATCAGTAGGTTTTGACTGATTATTCCAGGGTAGGGCTGCACAATATTGGAAAAAAACTCACATTGCGATATTTTCTTTTTCTGTGATATATATTGCGATAAAGTACAAAAAAAACACCACATGACTTGAATAGTTTATTTGGGGGAAAAAATAATCAATGATTGGGGTGATTTTGTAGGCGAGTAAATCAGCATAGGAAATAAACAAATTACAAGCATAGATAAATAACAGAACAACGACACAAATGAAATAAGCAGTGCTTTTTATTTTTCAGGTAAATCTAACAGTATTCGGGTACAGAAATTGAATAATCAAATGTAAAATAACACTGCATAGTCTTCACTGTATAAATTAAATCTAATAAATCTGTGTTAAAGCTCCAAAAGTGATTTTACTTTGTTTTGTTGTTTGATTAACATTCATAACACAGAAAGCCTCAGGAACATTAAACTGCTGTAAACCAATATACTATTACACATCCATTTTCTTTCTCAATTGTTTCCCTTTACCTAAGCCATAAGCAACTGCACAGAGCACAGTAGGCTATTTCAGGCACAAATAGACGCAGCAGTGAACAGAAATTAGAGTTCACGTGCATCTGCGTGGCTCTCACCGCGTCTTCACCGGATGCGAGCAGCGCGGCGCGATGCAACAAAATACAATGAACCCATAATAATCAGTGATGCTGTCTGTCTACACTGGATGCGGCATGGCACGACAAATCCCCGACAGTAAACTGATGCCACGTTCTCTTTATGACGTACTGACACAAAGTTCAAACTGTGACCTGCACTCTCCAAGATGACGCGGAAGTTTCAACAGGATAAATGGATTTCCAGCACTGAAAATCGCGTACAGTAGATCTGCTACTAAATGTATTTAAAATGGGTATCACTGTACAGCTGTCGCGTCCGGTGTAGACATCGTGTCTGTGTGTGAGCAAAGAAAACAATCAGTATAAATATAACGATCAGTAGCCTATACTAAACATCGCACATCCTGCAATGGGACTATCGCGGATGCGCACATCGCGATATCGATACTGAAACGATATATCGTTCAGCCTTAGTGTGCGCATGTTTTTGTGATTTATGAGACGGGATGGGTACAGAGAACCGGTATTTTTTTGGACCGGTACATAATTGGGTCAATACCGGAATACCGATAAGCTTCAGGACAAATTATACTGTTATCGATATTTATCTCCATATACTTCAATGTTAACGACGAATTAGAAGCTGCTGCTTGTCATTTTCCTTCACTGAAGGAAAATGTGGCTGACGTTTGCTCGACGTGTGTGTGATATCCATGCGCATGTGCGGTGTGTGTTTGTGTGCA